CAATTTTGTTTGGTGTCGTGAGTTTTATTTTATTTGTGTTTTGCCACCCCGTCGGACTCAACTTGTATCGGCCCCGATCCTGCTGGTCCCGTCTGTCTAAGATCTAAACACAGCGTGGGTAGACAGACCGGAGATCGGTATAGTTGCTTTAGTGACCAGGTATTGGAAGCGAGTCGGGAAAGGCGAGGCTGGTGATCATCTGACCAAAGGGTTGGAGCGGCACGCTTGGACCCAGGAGGAGCGACCAGGAGGAGCGACGTCACCGTTGGCGCCGTAACCAAAGGATCCGACACTGGGCCAGGTGTGTAACCGTCACAGTTGTGTAGAAAGACGACCGGCTTTCTGTAGACTAATTATTGAACATGGACTCATCCATCCGCTATGAATAGAACGTCTCCTCACAGGAACTTTCGTTGCAAAGTGGGCCGCAAGGCGTAGTTTTTAAGCCGTACGTACTGCCGCACTGAACTATGGAATTATCTATTACTATATTAGTAATCCATGTCTCTCATGTGATTAAACTGGTTCTTTACTCAGCCTTTTGTTCCAGTGTTTCTTTACAGTATTATTAACCAGAAAGACGAGCCTTATACGGACATTATAACAAAAACATTATTAGAAAAAAAAAGGGGAGAATGTTGAACTGGTATATAATATCTAATTTCCTATCTGGCAATAAATATCGGATTGGTTTGTTGAGTTTATTTAGCGACATATCAACCTCTATAGGTTATTTAATGCCGAAATCTAAATATTTTGAACACAATATTAAGGCTTCAACTACGGAATTTTGAACGCATTTCTATGTCTTCAACTACAAATAAAATGTATTGTTGGTCATATTGATCTAAAATGTATTGCTGGTACTTCTACTATAACAAAATTTGCTCATAGCTGGGACCCTAACAGGTGCTACCACCCCGGTGGACCTGGGAACAAAAAGCAGTTAAGATGTGGTTCCAAAACTTCCAATCTCCCGATCAGAGGCCTTTCTACCGGTTGTAGTTTATCGTCGTACCCAAAACTAATGAATGTTGGACAAAATTTATCATAGTAAAATTTTATCGGAAACAACGATAAGAGAGTGCAGTTTTTATATAACATCGATCTTCCTATAGGGATAAGGCAATGAATGATAGACAATTTTCCCAAGGATGGAATAGTAACTCGAAGCGGTAGTGACCTTGTACTGTTAAGGAATGATGAGAGTATCATGAACCTGACATGTGAATAATGAGGAAGACCTAACAATAGGCAAAACAAGATAATTCCTACTTCTAATCGCAAAGATGCAGCTGAATTTCTATGAGATTTTACTAATGTTTATTTAATACAAGGCCCAAGAGCCACCCAAGGTAGCGGGTTACTCTGCTGAGTTGTATTAACGTGAGTAAGGCCAAGCATTAGGAGTATAGATTTGAGGTAGACTTTAGAAGGAACAGAAAACACGAAACAGGAAAGAAAGGATAGACCTCTAGCCTGTTCGAAAGAATAGGGAGGAGTATGAGCCGGACGATAGCCAAACCTATCTGCTCCTGTTGGCGGAGAAGAAGAAAAAAAAGTAAAATAAAATGAACAATTATTGAATAAAGTTCAGGCGCAGGCGTTAGGAGTAAAGATCTGAAGCAGACTTTAGAAAAAACCAGAAACCCAATCCCAAAGAGGAACCTAGGGATAAACCACTACACCTGTTAAAAAGACCGCAGAGGTCTGTGAACCGGACGATAGGCGAACCTATCTACTCCTATCGAGGACAAAGAGCCTAGTGATTGTAACAGGTACAGGACATAAAGACGAGGACCTAGTGGTTGTAACACGCACAGGTCATGAAGACGAGGGCTTAGTGATTGTAACACGCATGGGTCACGAAGACGAGAGTGATAGACAGTGTCATCGATAAAGACTCGCGACGGACTCATGTAAAAGGACGGGGAAACAATAACTGGGGAGACAAAAGCTATAAAGTATAGATCATTGTGGAGAGACATGAACGCTCATTTTCTGAGGGGTCCCGGCAACCACAAAAAGAGGAATAACACTTTAACATAGTTGACAACGGATGTACTTGATTTTTGAATCACTTACCATCGCTATAACTTTTATTTGACGATTCCCTCTCTATATTACTACTTTTGAAATCGTATGTCATATCCCAATCGATACATTGATTCATATCTTGTCTTCAGTACTCTAGTCGTTGTAAATGGTGTTCTAATAACTTGGACCGATTTTAAATGTGAATTAAGTTTAAACGTCTAATGATTTTTTTCTTTTTCTTTCAGATTTAACAACTTAAGTCTTTGGAAATTTCAGGCAGGGAAAGATTAAAAATCAAACAACGTGTTAAAGTTATCAAAGTCTATTACGAAAATGGTCGGTCAAACAGAATTTGAATGAGAAGTTCCCATGTCGCATCATCTCTCGAAACAGCGAAGTCAATTGGCCACCATAATAGTGCGAATGACGCCTTTAGATTTCTTCCTTTGAGGATATCTCAAAAGTAAGGTCTATGGCAACAAGCCAACAATTCAACAGCTGAAGGATGAGATGATAAATCATATTGGTGAGATCAATGATCAACTATACAGAGACGTCATCAAAAATGTTGACCACTGAGTGGAGGTGTTTCGCCTTGGCCGACACTTTGTGACACTATTTAACGGTCGCGTGAAAATTAAAAGCGAGAAATAATTAAAGCGAAATGAAACTGAAATAATTAAGGCGATAAGAAGCAATCACGAAAAGACATACTGAACGATGTTATTTTTTTTAACAAAGAAAAGTGCTAAAGATTTTATTTTCATTTGCGAAGAAAAGTATTTTTTCGCAGAAGATAGGAAATTCGTAAGATCTCGGATCTGTCGGAATTAATTTATGCTACGAGGCGGCGAATAAAAGATAGCCATCTGCCCATGGCAATAATGAAAATTTCAAATTGGTCAAGGGGCCTACGAAACTGAAGCTGGGAGATAATGTTAATCAGGTCACGCACAGACCGAGAATGGCATCATCTTAGGCCACCCCAGAGAGCAAGGGAGAGAAGGGAAAAGAATAAACCATTAACTATCTTTCGAAGATATCATTTGTTTTTAGAAAGAGACCACCTGTTCTATTGTCCAGACCTGGACATGATAAAAAGTTTGTTACCGGGATGGATAATTGGATACAGAGTGCGGGGACGTCCAGTTAATCACCCATTTGACGCTGGCGAAAATCTCGTTGATAAAGTCCAGGGGACATTCGGTTAAGATAGAGATTAAGGACCACACTACGAGTCGTAGGGGTCTGGTGAAAAGAAAAAAAAAGAAGAAAAAGAAAACAGGAAGATATTTTTTTTCTATGAGCGATACTTTTAAACTGAGGCCAGTCTAGCCACACCCACGCTGCTGAGCGTTCATTGGCTGAATGGTGGCATGAGCAGTAGGCGAAGGTAAACATATGAGAAGGAGGGGAGGCTTGTTGACGCCTTTGAGGGGATTGGTGTGAGATGCCAATATGAGAAAGGAAGAATTTGGGAGGACGATACCCTTAAGAACCCCTCTAAAGCAAAAAGTAATGGACTTCCAAAAATGGAAATTGATAAATTTTCCTGTCCGAAAACAAAGAAAATCCTTATTGTGGATTTAGAATTATCGAGGAACTCAAACCCTGACAAGCCCACACCCGGTTTTGGTCGGCGTCCATATAAGCAGAGTCGCAGCGAGTTAGCAGTAAGTAGTTGGAGTTAGAGTTGGAGAGACGCAGACGCAGACAGAGTTGAGCTGTGAGCTCTGAGACCAGCCTCGCAGGAAGCTGACTGAAGATCCACGTATCCCAACTTCGACTTCTAACCAAGACCAATTTATTTTTGAAGAACGACTTAGACTCACACCACCAAAACAAGTTTTACGTATATCGCCTGAAGATACAAAAAAAAAACAGTTATTGAAAAACAACTTAAGATGTTAAGACTCGCCTATCAAGCGGAAAGTGTCACGAATCCACAGAAGCGGTTTGGGAGAAAGATGCAGTCCTGTATTCAGCAACCAGATATAAAAATATTTGTTATTCTTTTTTTAACACATTTGAACTTTTCGAGTTGTTACTTTATTTTCTTTTACATATACTTGTGCGGTGTTACCTTTGCCCGAATTCGGCTCGCATTACGGCCCGGCGACTGATTGATTTCGTCTACCTAAGATCAAATCACAACGTGGGTAGGTTAGACTAGATGTCAAAGCAGTTACCAGACGTTGGAGGATCGCTGGGAACGACAAAGCTGATACCGAATCTAACCAGATTCCCATCCGAATCAGCCAATGTTTAGAACGTCACATTTGGTGCCGCGACCAATACCACATTGGTCGTCACAGGATAGCACGGGGGCAGAGAGGCTGGGGTGTCGTCACAACTTGATGATTTCCTCTCTAGGTTACTACTTTTGAAGAAGGCCCGAGCGTACAATGGCCGAAAGTTTGTAATAAATATGGCTACAAAGATGAGGACAATAGTCCGAATAATGTAAATTGTGTTAGTTCTATTAATATTAGAAACCATTAGCATGAGTGACTTTAGGGACTCGATACTGTTTAGCACTAATATATATATATATATATATATATATATGTGTGTGTGTGTGTGTGTGTGTGTGTGTGTGTGTGTGTGTGTGTGTGTGTGTATAATTATTTATTCGAAAATTATAACATAAATATATTATAAAATCACTACAAAAATAGCCATTTTGTCTGAAGATCGCAAAAGCGTGAAAACTTGGGTTACAAACTCACAACCATACAACTAAGTATGTTAGCGCCATCACTGATATTGAGCGCATTCCAATAAGTACCGCGCATATATGATATATAAATAATATATTTATAAATCACATATATATATATACATATTATACACACATACACACACACACACACACACATACACACACACACACACACACACACATATATATATATATATATATATATATTGCGCATAATGGCTGGAAATGATTCATAAATTTCTCAAAAGATAAAAATTATCCCGGTGGTATTAATAAATAGATAGATAGATAGATAGATAGATAGATAGATAATGAACAGAAAGGCTAGATAGATAGATAGATAGATAGATAGATAAAGATGAATCATGTATGTTAGCGCCATCACTGATATTGAGCGCATTCAATAAGTACCGCGCATGTATGATATATAAATAATATATTTATAAATCACATATATATATATATATACATATTATACACACACACACACACACACACACACACACACACACATATATATATATATATATATATGCACATCTTCTGAGCATCTAGCTACAGGACTGAGCAAAGAGGTTTCCTCTTAGCCCCGAGTGAAAAAGTCCGTGCTCATCCCGGCTGTACCGGTGATGAACGCGCGGGAAAGAGCAATATGATAGATGCAGACATATATAAACACGCACCCCAGCGATAAGAATGTGTTTCGTACGTCTCACACGAGGATGTAGAATCCACATTCAAATAGGGACACCGGGCAGAACACGCCCATTCACGCCCACTCGCTTACAGTGAAGTCCAAAGTGAAATAAAATTTAATGTTTGCTTTTCATTAGTTATTCGTATCTGTTGCGTGTGTTTGTCTGTCCATTTTTTTGCGTCTGTCTTCGTCGTACATGTCCTCCTATAGTCAAATGTATTCCAGGGAAAACAATGGACATTTCCACATACTTTTATAGCCATAGACTTTGAACGCAATTTTATTCCGACATCGATATTGTAGAGTTGTTTTTGGTTTGGCAGCAGGGTTAAGAATTGGAACGTATCTGTAGGCTGAATTCTTTGATTTTCATCATTGATATCCATGTACAAAAAATCAAATCGAAGTCGATGGAAGATCAATATTTTTCTTTTGTCTCTCATTTTATATTATATATACATACATACATATATATATATATATATATATATATATATATATATATATATATATATATATATTGTTTATTCAGGATATGAATAACTTTTTCGTGTTGGGTTAAGACGCCATTCGCTGTTCTGCTTGTACTTTTTATTCAGACAAAAAAAGACCCTTTTAAATCTATATAAGAAAACGAATGCAAGTACAAATCCTATTAAAAAACACGAGTTCCGTGCGCATAATTGCTGGATATGATTCATAAATTTCTCAAAGGATAAAAATGATCCCGGTGGTATTAATAGATAGATAAAAAGATAGATAGATAGATAGATAATGAACAGAAAGGCTAGATAGATAGATAGATAGATAGATAGATAGATAGATAGATAGATAGATAGATAGATAATGAACAGAAAGGCTAGATAGATAGATAGATAGATAGATAGATAATGAACAGAAAGACTATCATAGATAGATAGATAGATTGATAGATATGAACAGACTGAAATAGATAGATATGACCAAACTGACTTAGAAGTATGAGTAGATTTAGGAAGCAAGTTAGGTTTATATACAGTGCTGTTCGATAAAAGTGACTCACCTTTGTTTTTTACTAAAAATATTTTTTGTCTATTGTTTTGATGGTTAAAATAATTTTTAATCTTAAAGACCCCTTCCCGACCACCTAGGAAAAAAAAGTTTATTCACCCTAAGGTATTCTATTGATAATTATAAATTTGAATACGAATGAGATTCAGAAAGAAACTCTGTGCAAAAAAAGTGACTCAGATATCGCATTCTAATGATTAAACTGGTAAATTTAAATAGCTTTTGACAAAATATTGGAAACTATTTTACAAAACACTCAGAACAATATTCTAGGGAATTCTAGAAAAGCTTAAATGAAATCTAGAGTATTCCAGAATATTCCAGAAAGCCTCATACAGTATAAAATCAGATTAAAATAGCCACTCAACTCACTAACCAGATGAAAGGGTACAAACCTGCATCAGAACCACTTAAGGCATCTATTATTGCCTCTCAAAAGCAGGCAAGTCTACGAGAGAAATTGCTATAACCTCGCAATCAACTGTTTCTCGCGTGCTTAGGGCACATAATGATGCCACTCCTGCTCCAAGGAAGGAAACATGGGGACGAAAGAAAAAGATTGATGATAGAACTGGCAGGGTAATCAAGAGAGAAGTTACGAAGAATAGGACTATAACAAGCCAACAAATTGCAGCCAGTCTAAGCGAAGAGCAAGGTGTTAGTCTTGCTTCTTCAACAGTCCGTCAGAACAAGGTTACAAATCTTATTAGAAAAGGGCTACAAATCATGTACACGAAGGTTTAAGCCGTTAATAAGCAAAGCCAACAAAACCAACAGACTTAATTGGCTCACTATTACAAAGATTTCACCGTAGAAGACTGGAAGAATGTTCTCTTCTCCGATTAAACGAAAGCTGAGCTAAATTCAAAGGTGAGTCACTTTTATCGAACAGCACTATATATATATATATATATATATATATATATATATATATATATATATAAACGACCATACCAAAAAATAGCAAGACATCGCCACCATCAACGATATCTAGAAACTCAAAACGAACACACACAGAAAACAAACCATGAACTTACGTGGACATTCTTAAGGTGCCGTACAAACATACACAAACCAAAACACAGATAGATAGATAGATAGATAGATAGATATAAACAGATAGAACAACCCTCAGACAGAACAAATAACCCCACTAAACATCCCAGCTAAGACCCTAGTAGACAATCAACAACAAACAAACACAACCTTCATAAAAAACGTGGTAAGCCCCCACCAGAAGTGTATATAGCATTCCTAACAGAGGAAATGATGTAAGCTTTCGAGCTTTTACGAAAAAACTTCGTCATGCTTTCACATACAAACATGAACCGTACGGACGATTTATAAATCTAGATAAGAGTAAATTCCCGCTCGACAAATTCAGATTATTAAATAAAAGACTAAGCTTTTGCCCTAGTCCCCCAATGTTTGATAAGGACACCTTGGGAAAGAACCTGAAATCCTTCTTTAGAAGAATACGGCTAAAAGCCCACTACAGAGACAATAACCACACACCTTCCATACTCGAAACATTAAAAGAGAAAGACACTACATTCACCCTACAAGACACGTTACATCACTATACAGACATATGAAATGGCAGTAACAGACGACATAAAGAAAACAACATTACTGAAGGGGACGGGCGGCCCTTGACATGCTGACGCATCGAGATGACTTAATCATTACACAGGCTGACAAAGGTGGTACCACAGTGATCTGGGGAATTAAAGAATACATTAAAGAGACCAACTATAGGCTAGACGACAAAAAACACCTACAAAAGCCTACCCAGAGACCCTCTCCCTGAATACCAAAAAAAAATTAACAAGCTCACTAAACGAGATGCTTCACAACAAACTGACACGAAACATGAACAACATTTACGATCACAAACATCTCACCTGCCCACTTCTATCTCCTTCCCTAAATGCACAAAAACAACAAACCAGGAAGGCCGGTCATTTCATCATGTAACTACCACACGACCAAAATATCCAAATACGTAGACCATTACATACAGCATTTAGCTAAGAGAGTAAAATCCTACATCAGAGACACAACAGACCAACTAACCAGAATTAATCATATAAAAAACAGTGCCAGAAAATGCCACTCTAGTAACCATGGACGTAATATCACTTTATTCAAACACACAACGAAGGGCTAACCGCCCTTAAAGAAGCACTTGCCGAAAGAACAAAAACAAGACCCCCACCCACTATAGAAGTTAACATAAATCTCATGTAACATATTCTTACATTGAATACTACTAAGTAAGAGGATGTGCCATGGTTACTGTTGCGGCTCCATTATATGTCACAATCTTAATGGGAAAATTTGAGGTACCTTCATTGGTAACGACTGCATGTTCTATGCAAGATATATCGATGATATCTTCTTCAAACACACGGGCAGTGAGAAGAAACTCACTGAATTCCTTATGACCCTAAACACGTTACACGACTCCATTAAGTTCGACTACGAAAAATCAACATGATCGATAATATTTTTAAACACCCGCATCTATATCGATAAAAACACAAAGCTACAAACGGCACTACACATTAAAATCACCGACACCCACAACTATCTACACTTTAAGTCTCCTCACCTAAAACACCTCGGGCAGAACCTTCCCTGTTCACAAGCACTTAGACTAAGAAGGATAGTTCTAGCAATGAAGAATTAAGTAAACACACTAAAAATCTCAATTCATAACACGTGGCTATAAAGAACAACAAATCAGGGAACAAATAAATAAATCAATTTCCACAACGAGAGAAGACACCCTATTGAATAAAATTAAAAAATAAATCCAGACGGGTCCCTCTAGTACCCACTTGGAACACCACTCTTCCTCCACTATCTCAGATAATCAAAAGTCGCTGGGAAATACTAAATCTCAAACCGGACCTAAAAATTTTGTTTGCGGAACCCAGCCCTCTAGCGTAGACCTAAGAACCTTAAGGAAATTATATGTAGTAAACAAATTTCAGATGATAAGGTAATCCGTAATAGACCAAAAATAAAAACAATAGAATTTTCTCAACCATGTAACAACAAAAGGAGCTTGTGTTGTAACAACATTAGACACACCAATTCGTTCACTAGCTCAGTCACTAAATCTACTTTCAAAATCTACCACAACTCTAACTGTACAAGTCATAATATAATTTACCTATTAGAATGCACACTATGCCAGAAACAATATGTGGGAAAAGATGAATGGCCTTTTCACTAGAGAATTAATAATTATCATGATTGGATCAAGTCGGCTCCCTAGGAAAGATTATTACCTGTAGAACAACATTTCTGACTAGAAAAACATGATTTTAAAAGCTATGTTGAATTCACAATAATTGAAAAAATAGAAATAGACAGAAGTGATAACATTAGAAAAATTCTAGAGGAACATGAAGAAAAATGGATTTTGCGCCTCAAAAAACATTATCCAGACGGGCTTAACCACAAATTTAACAACATAGATAGAATTAATATATAACCCCATATATCAAGCCCTACCCACATTTCTCACCCACACAAGACAGATATGCTTGCGGAGGTGTTGAGGTGACACACTTATACACACACCCATACTAATATATACACTTACACACTTCAAACTTACTCCCAAAGAACTAAATGATAATATACACTTAGCACACACACATCACCTTCCCAGCGATTAATAAAACTGTCAAAATGACCAAGAATGGAATTCTGAAACTCCCCAGGCTCTATCTTAAGAGGCCGTTTGACCAACACAAGGACTAACGCAAATTAACGATAAAACAACAAATGAAAACTACGGATAAAGTTCATTTTCTTCAGAAAGTCATTCATTACTGTAGTTCACTGCTACTAACAAGCAGGAATCTTTTTTCCTCCTGATGATGGCCACGCTTGCCGAAACTATTTGAAGAATCTAATTGAAATAATTAAACAAAAAAAATATTAATATACATACCAGTGTGTCTGAAAATTTTATTTTATAGTTCGAAACACACACACACACACACACACACACACACATATATATATATATATATATATATATATATATATATATATATATATATATAAGATGAAGAAACAAATATGATCATACATACTCATATTTTCAGCATGAGCAAGTGGCTCTTAAAAATTCGTCATCATTATCTGCTCCGATATGGAGGATTATTTTCGCGAATAGTAACCACCATCTCCATCTTTATACAATAAATCAAATTAAACACGATATTATATCATATCCCGACTCTGACTTTCGCGGGATTAAAGCCATTTATCATGAGTGTTGCTTGTATATTTTTTCTAAAAGATGTCATTTAATTCTCCTTAAAAGACGTTATTTTTATGATGTAAACCAATTTGAATTTGTTCGTTAACATGTATTGAATATTTTTTTTATATAAACGAAAGTTATATATTAATGTTACGTGTGATTTGAATTAAATGGTAGACAATTATTTCAATTATGGAAAGGGATGTGTGTAAACGTTTTTCTAAGTAACTATTTATAGCTTATTAGATGTTAGACGTTATTGAGCCCTTTTAATACTTGTGAAGTATGTCAGTGGATGCACAGTGGAGTAATGAATTGCGGCTCGCATTGAGAAATCGGAGAGCAGAGTTCGAATTCCAGTCGAGTTCATTAAATTCACGCGTTAATACCCTCTATTTCTTCTCCACCCACCAGCTATGGATGAATAGCAGGGCAGTAATTAGTCTTGGGTCAATGAGACATTCTAGGAGAAAGAAACACTAAATTAAAAATACAAACTCCAACTATGGATAAATAGAGTTCTAGAGCCTTGTTTGTCAACCGGTCGAGGAGAAGGAAAATTTCTGAATTCAAAACCTCCAACTATGGGTAAATAGTAAGGCAGTCTGGGATCTGTAACCATGTTTGTCAACTAGATTAGGAGAATGGCAACTGAGATTTTAAATACGGAGCCGAACTTCTTAAGACAGTCTGATGTCATGTTCAAATATCGTAATATTTTAAAATGAGGTTGTCTTGATATATGTATAATGACAGTTTATATTATTGGTTTTGAGCAGCTAAGTAAATAAATATGGGAATTTTTATGATCAGTTGTTTTACACAAAAAACAGGTGGTCATCCTATAAACAGGTTTTTTTTTTTTGAAGGAGTTAAAAATTCGCCATCTTCGCTAACCCGTTGCATATATTACATAAGTAATTTTTTTTTTTTCATGTATAAAAAAATCAGAGCTCGCACTATACATGAAGTCGACTTATATTCGGGTATATAGGTTATAATTGTTGCAAATATTTTTTTATAATCTTATATAACAGAATAGGCGCTAATGTATTTGCATTTTTTGTAGAATTCTTTCCTTTTATTTAAAAATTTATTTCTGGAGATATGCAGACATATTTTTTTCAATATATATATATATATATATATATATATATATGAAAATTTCTCAGAGTTAACCTGTAGAAAAGACAGTATTTATAAATATAAATGACTACAGGAAAACTGTAGTTATTGTCCAATGTGGAAAGTCCAACATTGGACGAAACGCGTTGGACGAAACTACAGTTTTCCATTGTCATTTTATATATATATATATATATATATATATATATATATATATATATATATATATATATATTGCGTATTTAGGCAGTAATCCCTCATTTATACATGCTTCATTAAAGAAGACACACGACGGGCTGCGATTTAACATTTTATTTAACTTTTCTTGTGTTCGAACAAGTGTTTTCTTTTCTGGACACAGGATGTGTAGTATGTATTCAAATGTTCTGTAATTTCGAGCATTTTCAGCTATCGTTTTAGCCATTATCAAGGATTATTTATTTTTACTTTTTAACTGGATGTATGGGTTGTGTATCTAGAGCTATAGGGATTTTTTTTCCGAACACAGTCAATACATTGTGGCCGTGTTCGTAATTAATATTATTTGGTGTTGGCTTTTTCTTTATTATTTTTTAGGCTTCAATTATTTTTAATTTAATTAATATTTTAATGTTTTTGGACAGTTTCTTCACACTCTTTACGCACTTGTTCGAACGCAAGAAAAATTAAATAAAAAGGTTAATCACAGTACCTTGTCTGTTGTCATTAATGTAACATATATATATATATATGTGTGTGTGTGTGTGTGTGTGTGTGTGTACGTGTTTTTATTTCTTCAAACGTTACTTTTAATATATTTGAGTAAAACGCCCATTTTTTTACAGTGTTTATTTCGTCTACCGCTTTTCGAATTTCCGAAAGAAAATGTGGCTTCCAACAGGATTCGAACCTGCATACCCGTTCGTTAGAGAAACCACCGCCTGATAGGACTAATTTAATTAATATTTTAATCTTTTTGGACAGTTTATTCACACTCTTTACGCACTTGTTCTAGCACAAGAAAAATTAAATAAAAAGGTTAATCGCAGTACTTTGTCGTCATTAATGAAACAAGCATATATATATATATGTGTGTGTGTGTGTGTGTGTGTGTGTATACGTGTTTTTATTTCTTCAAACGTTACTTTTAATGTATTTGAGAAAAACGTACATTTTTTTTACAATGTTTATTTTGTTACCGCTTTTCGCATTTCCGAAAACTTCAGAAAGAAAATGTGGCTTCCAACAGGATTCGAACCTGCGTACCACTTCGTTAGAGAAACCACCGCCTGATAGGTTTGATGCCAGTCGAAATAACAGATCAAGTCCGATAACATGACAGACACTTTTTGGGATTTTATCGGGAATATCGAGATTTATGACAGGAACTCCAGACACGATATGGCAGTAATATTCAATACACAGACTAAAGGTCAACTTATAAATGTGCCAAATGGATATAACCAACTTACCTAGCAGCAAACCTAGCAATAGATTCAGTATACTTACTCCACTTCATGTCCGTAGAGAACGCGAGACCAAGAAGGTATGATGAGTCGCCATTTTGGAGGTTAGCATCAGCCATACTGAGGAAAGAGTAAATGGTTCTCTATGATGTTTAAAAGATAGCAGTTTCGTTTTGGAGGCGTTAGCATTTACAAGGTATTTCTTACCCTAGTTAACAACTGGGTATAGGAAATTTTCGAGACCAGCTATCAGTTCTACTTTGTCGAACATATCAAACAGGAGTAAATAGATATGTCAAGTAAAGGAAGAGACAAATCATTGAAGTAAGTTATTTATTGTCAAATTTGAAGATAATAGGATCCAGTTCGAGAGGACATTTCTTTAGGACAATTACAGACACATACCGAGTGGGGATCTAGTTTGTAGATGATAGCAGAAACCGTGGAATTATGCGCATATATATATATATATATATATATATATATATATATATATATATATATATATATGAATATATATTCGTAACATAATAATGTGTAATATATATAACACCTAAAGGAAAACCTCCTTGAAAAAGGGCTAAATAAGTGGTTGAAAGCTCTTGAGACAACGGACATTCCGAAAAATCTTTGTACACCCTTACTTCCATCAAACTTGAAAACGCTGGAAAAAAACTAAATAAAAAATTGATTAAATTTTCCTTGTAGGTTGTATTTAAAGAAAGATTTGCTGCACAAATATACATTAATATATATATATATATATATATATATATATATATATATATATATATATATATATATAACTGAACAATAAAAAAATATTTAAAAATTAAAAAATTGAAATGTTCAGACTCATTGGGTTGTATATTAATATTCATTTGTTTTTATTATTATTTCATTTAGATTCCTCGACTAGTTTCGTCCAACATGGCCATCATCAGGAGACAAAAAAAATTCGTCTTGCTGGTAGCAGTGAGCTACAGAAATGAATGTATTGATGGAGAAAATGAACTTTTGTCTGTAGTTTTCATTTGTTTTTTGTTTTTAATTTTTTAACATGAATTTTGGTCAGTCTTTGTGCTGGTCAAACAGTCTCTTTTAAGTTGTTATTTGAGATAAGAGCTTGATGAATTCATGCTGCTCTGAATTCCCTTTGTCATTTTGACAGTTTTATTGATATAAAGCCGAAAATGCCTGTGTTTGTGTGTCTGTCACTTTGTTTCTTTGTGTGTAAATGCTATTTATGTACGTCTATATTTCACGACCGATTTCGATGAAATTGTACATACAAGTTGCAAATTTATCAAGGTAGGTCAATGTAAAGTTACCCACGAACAAAATCTTTACGGTATGAGCTGATGTTCTTTGCACTTAATGCAAATCATCAGCTCATATTACGCGGTTTATATAGAGTACGTGCTAGTTTTCCTGCGACCATTAGCTTCACAGTAAAAATTGCAAAAAGCTGTGAAAAATCGGATTAGAGAAAGTGTAAATTTTAGGAGTGGTGGTGGGGAGGGTTTTAGATAAGAGAAGAGAATGAATGTCGACGGATGTCTAATGCATAAAGATACATCTCTAAATCTATAATTCTCTAAATTATGTTTTCACTTCCGGAGTGGTTTTTTCTGTTTTCATTTTGAATTTGTAGGTCCGATTCCAATGGAATAAATTATGACCATGGAATATTAGTGTTTAAGCCTTTTTATTATATATATATATATATATATATATATATATATATATATATGTCATACCTGAAAAATATTGAGAAAAGTGTAATAATTAGAACGAATGTATGAACAAATTAAATAGATAGATACATAGGTAATAAACATATTGGGATAGATAGATAGATAGATAGATAGATAGATAGATAGATAGATAGATAATGAAAGTCGTTATATCCACCGCTAATACGCAGTTACCACCACATAACTGCCATCATATCCTTTTGTATTTTCTCTGTCAAAGTTAAGCAAGCATCGATAAATAGCAATGGGTGTAATTTTTTTTGGCGCCGAGGATTTCACTGACACACATTTGCTCCGAGCGCGCATGTCAGTCGCCATTTTGCCAGAGTGTTTTTTGTAACCAAGCAAGAAGCATCAGAGTGTCGTGAACCAGCATTAACACAATAGAAAACTTTACATCCTGAGCAAACTCTCAAAAAGGAAAATATTGAATCCGAATAGATGCAAGAACAGAAATGCCCTTTTTCAACTTGTCTGAAATTTTAACTAATGAGATTTTCTATTCACCAGTACGGGTCAGAGATTTCTTTTTTCCCTTTGGACGAGGTATTTCCCTACAGAATTCGCAAGGCCAGAAATTCCAACTGAATGTTTCTACTTGTATCGATTGTTGGTCTCTCTATTCGTCTCTCTCTCTCTCTCTCTCTCTCTCTCTCTCACTATATATATATATATATATATATATATATATATATATATATATATATATATATATGTGTGTGTTTGTGTGTCTGTGTGTGTGTGCATCTTTTATTCTCACACACGAATATACACGCGCACACAATAGCACAGACAAACACTTATTTACTTGCTCACTCGCTCGTTTCCTTCCTATTTGTGAGTCAATCATTGCATTTGCGTCGCGTCTGAGAACAAAGAAAGTCGCACGCATGCGCATTCAACTCTCCGAAAGAACTCATCTTCATTACAAAAAAAAAAAATACATTAAAAATTTCAGCGGTAATTAATGAATAAATTTCAAAAGCCTGGGAATAGAAATTAAATTAAAGATGTCTCATATTCTTCTGGAGAATCAAAACATCCACTGAAACAGCACTCAAGTCAGATGCAGACGACAGTTTTACTTTTTTTTTTTTCCTTTTTTTTTTTTTTTTTTTATGGTGGGGGATGTTTTTTATTTACTATTTTTTTTTTTGTTAAAACAATTAAAACTTTTTGCAACCTTCATTGTTTATCTGCTTTTTCGATCTATCTGTGTCTACCGTTTTTCTCCCTTTTTTTTATTCAGCTTCGATTTTTAAAATTCTTGTTTTTTACAAGTTTGTGAGCGTACTTTACGCTTGCGTTTAATTCACAGACACGCGCATTCACTGTATAACAATCGGATTTCTCTTTGGGGACACAACATTGCATGTGTGAGCATTTGTAATTATAAAAGTTTTTCTGTAATGGGTAATGATCATCCATCTTGTATAAGGATCTTTTCTTTCATATCCTGTGTCCCTTCAGGATGTGGCTGGTCGTAGCTCGCGACAAGTTTCTATCTTTCTTAGCTCTTTGTCTTTTTTACTATGTATCTGATCCTTTTTAAAGGTGGTAGCTTATCATCTGAAATAAACGGCAAATTCTGTCTATCAATCCATGCGTCTGAAACTCCTCTAACTCGAGCCACACTTGTTCTACATAGACATATCATACCGTTTTAGAATCAGGATGATCCTGGAATTGACAATCTGCTATTCATCTGATGCTTGAACATCCAGCATTGGCATGTGAGTCCGGATGAGGTGGGAACAGTTAATAACTGAAAGACATCAGTGATTTAATTTTTTTTTCATTTATATTGAGTTTAAAGTGAGTCAGGTTATATGACGGTTTCGTATAGAATACAGGTTCGATTCTTGTCGGAGGACGCATATTTTTATGAAGATTTCTCGGACACTCAGGCCGGTAAATGTTGTTTAATACTGTTTATTATAAACAGAAAATTTACTTAAATATTTGTATCTATAAAAAGAACGTATAAACATACAAAATGTCTTTAAATAATTGTCGGACTTTGTACATTTCATAATGTGTGACGTCATTTGTTTAGATTTGGATACGCATCGAGCAGATATGAATGTATGAGAGAAAATCATGGAGAATTGTAGTTTAAAAACAGTAAAATTGACCTTGCTAATCGAAATTCTCCTCTGTGGCTCAATCGGTAAAAGCACGTCAGACGGTTTGTATCTATAAAAAGAACGTATGAACAAAAAATGTCTCAAAATAATTGTTATGGTCTAGGTCCTTGTACCACGGTGATGGTCCAAGGTAGAACCAATAAAGAAGAACTCGAACACGGATATGGAATAACACAGATATATGACAAACAGGAATATATACAGAGAGGTAGAAGTGTTAGTACGAACAATCAGGTTTAGTAGAGAGAACAATGTAGTCTTGACCAGTATCACTATTCCAATGTCTTGCAGTAATTGTCTGAACGCGACTCTGTTTCGGACTGCCTCTGACTCGACTGACTGACTCGCTCGCCCTGACTGACTGACGGACTTCTGACGGACCTCACTCCAGACTTCAGGCTGAACTCTCTGCTTCCTCTTGAGGCGCAGTATTTATTACGTATGGAATAGCCCATTATGTTATTATGGGTAAGGTCCCATAACAATAATTGAGTTTAAAGTAACACAAACACTTTGAGAATTTAAAAATTCTTGTTTCAAATTCAGTTTAAAATATCTCCAAAAATCAATTTTATTTCTTCAACATGCCACGGAATAAGAATTCAAGTGAGAAATTTCGAGACGTGGGGGTTTGAAGTTCCGCAGATTGTGATTTGAAGAACTCAACTGAAGATCCATGAAGTTTGTGATTTGAAGAACTCTTACACCTGTTACAATTTCGGCCCAAATCAAGTGAGGTTTTGCAGTTCTATGGAGTGAATTGAGGAATTCAAAGATATTTCTTCAAAATTATCATTGCCGTTTTCTAAGTTGAACCAGAGGTCCCTTTTGTTTTGTACCGGAGGCCCAATTAGCTCTCCGCAGTAACTAGCTTTAAAGTCTGAACGGAGTGCGGATTTTAATCTATTTTGAAATAAAGCCCAGAAGCCGATGAATAGAAATAGAATATAACCGCCACTATTAAAAACATTTTGGGAGAATTATGATTAACTCAATCTACAGATTGAGTTAATCTTCATACGAACATTTAAAAACGTGCAGAAACTCTGGGGTCGTCCTCAGAAATTAAATAAAGTATACTTTGGGGGATTTTCAGAACGATAGACTTTTTGAGATGCGACCTATGAATTTGAAATCAAACAATTACAGATGTTTAAATATCTGGCAATAGTTATAATGAACGACAAAAAAAATATGATACAAAAATCCGATGACGCATTAGAATAGCGCAAGATGCCTTCCTAAAGCTAAAAAAAGTATTAAGAAACACGAACATTTTGTTAGAAACAAAGAAAAGAATGCGCAAACGTTATATAATATCCCTTTTTCTATTTGGCAGTGAATGCTAGAATATTTCTTTATAAATAAAGAGGAGACAAATCAAAACAAATATACGATTCTCCTTAATATGCTGCAAATATTATGGTCGGAACATTTGAGCAACAGATTTTTAAGGAAATAGAGAAGACTCATTTAAAGATCTACAAGTTCTTTTTTTTTATTAATTTCCATTTTACTATTGGTGTTTTATTGGATTCTTTTAAATACCAGAAATATTAAGATAGGGATGTATGGTTACGGTATTTTGTATTAGTGAAGGAACTTTGGTGTTGGTGCCATCTTAACTTAAATTCATTCTTTGTACATCCTATATAGACTTTAACATCATTAGGATTCTCAATAGATGAGATATTGCATTGATGAGCTACAGATTTTATACAGTTATTAAAGTGTATAAAAATGTGGGTGACATAATGAGTAAGGAGTGCTTAGAGAATTTGACACTCACGGGGAAGCAGTCAGTTATATACCATGCGTAACTGACGAAGCAGATTTTTAAGGAAATAGAGGACACCCATTTCTTTCTGTGGTAGACCAGTTGCCATACAAGGGTATTTACCCATAACTGGTGAAGAAGAGGATTCGTACTTTTCCCAAGGGTATTAAAAGTTAAGTGAATGAAAAGTGAACTGGAATTCGAACTCGGCTCTCCGATTCCTCAATCCGAGCCGCTATCACTCTACCGTGCGCCACGGAATGTAGACGCAATATAAAAGACAGATGTAATGACAACCAATATTAGAAAACAGAGTGGTTTAAGAAAATAATAAATTCTATATTGCAAATACTTCTGATATATGCAGAAAAAGAAGGAATTGTTTTATTTTACTGATGTGGGGCCAAAGTCGGGACCACAGAAGGAAAACACGGAACACGGATTAGATGTAAGAAAGATATATTAACAACAGCTTACAGAGATAGTGTAAGCTCCGCTTACTATATGTTAGTGTCCAATACTGGTAGTCGTACGCGACTCTCACTGTCTAGAGTGTTGTGTCGCATACTTAATATAGACCTGGAAGAGTCTATTGTGTAGGTAGTTCCGGTCTCACAATACCCCCCTTCTAAGAGTTTTCTTTTTGAAAAGGAGAGAAAAAATAAAACTGGTAATACTTTTTCCTCTTGGAATTTACGTCGAGCGGTTGAGTAAATTTCTTTTTCCTTCCGGAGCGTCGCACTTCAGGAGAGACTTGGGGCATGTCGAGATCGAACTAGAGATCTTGATGCGTGAGCCACAGCTTTTCGCGAACCATCTGTCAGTTTATGTAAACTGCAAGCAACAATGCCGTACGAGCTTGCATCACTCGAGACTAGGGTCGTAATGGGTGAGGGAGAGGTCTGAAGTAAAAGTTTTCTTGATCTTCTCGAATGCGTCTTGGCATTCCGGGGTCCATGACCATGGTTTGTCCTTTTTTAAAAATTGGTTGAGAGGCCCTCTCAAATTTTGCATGTTCTTAATGAACCCTTGGTAAAAGTTAGCTAGGCCGCGGAAGCTTTGTAACGCTTGAACGTTATCTGGGGCCGGCATGTTTCTGATCACATTGGCTCGTATTTGATTGGACTTCTTTTTTACGTAGACCGTAGGTGCTGCCCACTCGCTGAAATCTGTTTTTGACAGAATACCTGCTTGTTCGAGTCTATCTAACTCTTTGTTGATTTGTTCTAGAGCAGCGAAAGGGACATTCCGTTTCTTTTTGAATACCGGTTGTGCACCGTCCCTCACCTTGAACTTAGCTTTAATTTTAGTACATTTCCCAAGGCCTCCAGAAAAAACCTGGGGAAATTGTTGTTTGAGTTCCTTTTTTAGATTTACCAAATTGGACGTTGTACTTTGTATCTTGCGACAAAATGTACTCATTGGGCAATCCCAAAGATTGAATTTTTCTATCCAATCTGTTCCAAATAAGTTAACTGAAGTTTTCAATACGTAGGCTTTGAGCTTTTTGGTAACTCCATTTAGTGTTACTGTAAGTATTACCTCGCCTAAAATGTTAATCTTTTCGCCAGTTACGGATTTTGCTGTTTTATCCGTTTCTAACAAGGGCGGCTTGTTCAATTTTCGCCAAGTACGCCAGTTAATGGTTGAAATATCAGAACCCGAGTCAAGCTGGAATTTAATGGACTTGTTGAAAATATCCACAGTTACATATTTTCTTAAATTCTCATCGGCAATATCGTCAGATTCAGCTTGCCTAATTTTACTTTTGGGTTTTCTCGTTCTGTTGGCGTACCAGCACGAAGTTAAAGTATGCCCACTTTTATTGCAATTTTTGCAATATTTTTTGTTCTTAACTGGACAGAATTTCATCCAATACCATTTACCACAATGGTAACATGGTCCGGGCGGTTTTTTTAACCTATTTGGGATTTGGTTACTACGTAATTTAGGTCATGTGATTTGCCT